GGGGGGGGTGGCGGTGGTGGGGGTTCAACATCCGCTTTTTAACAAACGCCACAAATTGAAAGAATATCAAACACAACCAGGGTTTCTGAAGCTTTGGTCAGAATGCAAATCAAAAACCTAAACAAAGTCAGTTTTGTAACAAAATTGATTTCTGGTCAAAAGCAGTCTCATTGCTCCAGCAACCTCACGAAAGTGATACAAACAGATCAGCCACCAAAATGTGCCCCTTTAGGTATACACAAAGTCATTAAGATTTGGATCAACTTGTGGAGACCAAACAGGTTTACAAAACAGTACAATTTCCTACAGGGATGTTTAAAGTTTGATTCAACACAGGAGTTGAATGTTAGTCTTGACTCTGGGTATCACAACACAAAATAATGGACCAATCATGTTTGACTGCAGCTCTTGAATCCAGCCTCCTGCACAGCAGAGTTTGCACGGTGACTGGAATTAACATGACCACCTCACTGTTTCACTGCAAGGCTGCAAAGATTTAAAATGCTCTACAAGATTCAAATGGGCCTCTCTTGTGAAATCCAGCTCCCATGTACTTCATGAAAGTATTTATAAATTCTTATAATGAAATCAACTTTTCACAGATTCCTGTCGCTCTACGTCTTTGATCACACATACTGATACACAAATCAGGAGTGTAAATGGGCCCTCGGTCCCTCAAGCCTGCTCCACCTTTCAACATTTTTGTGGCTAATCAGATTGCTTCATACTCCTGATGTTCGTGACACAATTGCTCATCAAAGAGACTATCAAACGCTACCTTTAAAACATTCGAAAACCACTTCAACCTTTTGAGCAAGATTTCCAAATCACAAGGACACTCACATCCCTCTGCAATTTTTCACCACTCAGATTTACTTCTCTTATCCCTCCAGTCAAGATGGACAATTTCAGGTTTCCTCACATCACAGTAATCTGCCACGTACTTGCCCTCTCATCTAACTGATCTGTATTACCCACTCCGCTTTTCACAGGCACTAAAACGAGACAGTAGCCAAGTAAAATGAAGGTGCTCAGAACAACTGTACACAGCAATCCATCTCTGCTGCCACCATCAAACCAGGCTGCTTTGAACGTAACAGAAATGCAGGACTCACGTGACAGCTTCTTGTCCATGAACCTGGGAGGAGAAAAGATATGAAAAATGATGGTCAAGGGCAGTGAATGTATGAAGCGCATCGAAAATGCAATTTGCAGTCAAGAATTTAAATTGCACCCACGTGACCAGAAGCCATACTGCCTCCCAGCAAAATTGGGCAGAAAAATAGATCCACCCCATTATGATTTATTTTTGGCTGGGTGCAGGAGCTCTAGCAAGGAGCAGGGGGGAGGGGTGAGATACAGTGAGGAACAGGTGGGGGAAGTTTGTGTACAGGGAAAGTTGGCCCAGTCTCTCGCGGAGAGTGTGGGTGGGTGGAGGGAGTTATTTTTGGGGTGTGTTTGTGCAGGGGAGAAAGTGAAACAGTTACTTGGTGCTTGTTTGTGCGGGGTGATGTGAGAGGGTTATTTGTGTGTCTACAGTTTGCAGGGGGAGAAGGTATGGGTTTCATCACCCCAGAGAAAGTGGATGAAGAATGTTTGTGTGTGAGAGGTGTGTGTTTTGTTGGGGAGGGGGCACGCAGTTATTTGTATACGGGTTGGGGGGGGGGGGGGGGGGGG